TAGAAGTTTTTAAGTCTGTAAAAAACAAGTTTTTGAGGAAGAAGAAGAAGTAGTATTTTTTTTTTTTTTAGACTTTAGAAACTCAGCTGATCAAATATCGGGTTAAATATCGGTGGGGTGGCCGATGTCCGATATTGAGTTTTAAGGCCGATACCGATAGGGGGCCCATTATATAAAATAAACAAAATGGACTATAATTAACTCAATGGAATGAGAGTAGAAATAGGATGTTAAAACAGTAAAAATGGGAAATATGAACCCATGCAGCATGGGTTATCCACTTAGCAGTGAATGTTTATTTAGCCAAATACTTCTTCAATATAAACTCAAACAGGTGCATGAATGCACAGAAAAATTGACAGATCTGGATACAACTTCTACACCAGATGGGGTATAAAGTCTAAATACAGATGATTTTCCAGGAGCTATTCTGTGCTGTGCAGGAATCCTCCCCACAGCTGTTTCAACCCTCTGTGGTGTCCAGTTTCATCTCAGTATGACAGACTTCACAAAGGGTTACTGTCTGCAGGTTTTAGTCTGTTCATGGAGTCTATTTCTTTGTGAAAATGTTAATATATGGAGACAAAGAGCGATAGGAGACAGAAGGCCATTGTTTTCCACTCACCCTTTGCGTCCAGTCTTGCCCCCTCCTCTCCTGTCTCCTTTGCCTCCTGCGTAACTCCGTCCTGGTTTGGCTCCGCTCTGCGTTCTACGATTCTGCCTCTCCGTAGGTCTCTGACTTGAGAAACTCCTCTTGGCCGTTTGGGATATTTCTCGTTTTGGAGTCACACCTCCATCCGGTGGACTTTTACTAGGCGTCAAAGTGCCCTGAGGGGGTGTGGGTGCTGGGGCAGAAGCAGCGGCTGCCTCATTAGCAGCTTCCAGTGCTCCTTTCCTCTCCTCTCGTTCTCTCCTTTCATTGAAGTCGCTGCTCTCTGAGGCGGTCTCCCACTCCTCATTTGCTTGATCTGAGGAGTTCTGGTTGGACAAGTCGGGGGACTTGCTGCCCACTGCAGTGATGGTGGAACCGCTGGTCTCAGGCAGGGATGTTTCTATGGGGGCTGTTTGGTCATGTGCAGGTGCAGCAGCTGCCACCTCCGCAGGCACAGTTAGAGGAGTTCCTGGAGCTCGAGACATGGTGGGTGACTGGGACACTGAAGCGGGTGCAGAACTGGGGGCGGCTGAAGCAGCCACAGAAGGCAACGGAACAGGAGGACTGGTCGCAGAATATCCAGTTCCCAACACAGCTGCCTCGCGCTCTTTCAAGCGCCTAAAGCGGGGAGGTTTATCCTGCCTCGGGGGTCTAGCTGGTCGAGTTCTGCGGGGTCTCTCTCTGCTGCTCTGAGGACCCCCCTCTCCAAATTTCTTTCCCTCCAATTTCGGGGGTCGTCGATCAGCAGGGGGGTTGTCGTATCTCATTGCACAGTCTGCCTCCTCGGGCCTGAACGTCTCCATCGGTTTAGAAGGCCACTGAGAGGAAGAGTCCCTGGGTCCGGATCGTCGAAGAGGGGCTGAGCGTGGACCCCCGCGCTCCCTGGTTCCACCTCGCCTGCTGTACAATCCCCCCCGCCCTCGCCGAGAAGGCTCTCCCTTTGGAAGAAAGCCTGGTTTTGGTCTGCTGTCGTCTTCTCCTCTCATTCCAGCCTTTTCCCCGACATGCGGCGGCTCAAAGCCCAGCTTGTGGGGTCCCAGACGCGCCTCAGCGGGGAGATCTCTTCTTAGTGGACGGCTGGGTTTGGTGCTGGGCTCCCGGTCGGAGGGTCCGGTGTCGCTGGCCGATTCTCTGCCGCCTGCACTTTCAGAGTCCGAGTCCGAACCACGCCGCCGCCTGCGTTTTGGAATGACTTCAAAGTCCGAGCTCTCGCTGCGTGTTTCACTTTCCTCTCTGTTACGGAAGGCTGCGGCGCCTCCAGCGGAAGGTAAATCGGAGCGTAATCGTGCCTCTCTGTAGGCGAACTCCGCCCGGCTACGGCCACGACTTCCCCTGCCACGACCGCTGTAACTTCCTCTGTAGCTCCGCCCTCTGGAGTAGTACTCCCCTCGACCGCGGCCTTTAAAACTGGAGTCCATAGGCCATTCCCTCTCCTTATCAGCTTCCTTTTCTCTGTCTCTGTCCTGTTCCCGCTCCCTTTCCTCTCTTCTGTAGGCACGCGTAGGGAGATGGGGCTCCTTCCGGCTGGGAAGTTTTGGTTCTGGATGCTTGTCGTTACATGGAAGTTTATCTGGTTTCTCTTCTTGGGAAGAAGAGGTGGGAACCCCAGAAGAAGGCTGTGAGTCTCTGGCCCTATGGTGGGCAACTGGGGCTTCATCGGCTTCAGCAGGTTCCTTCTTCACTTCAGCCTGAGCTCGAGAGCTTTCAGAGACGGCTGCAGCTGCTGATGGCGCTTTAACGGACTGATCCTTTTTGGATCGGTCCCCTTTCTCCCCTCTCTCGTGACGTTTCTCTCGCTCTTCTCTTTGCTCCCGCTCTTCTTTCATATCCCTCAGAACAGGCTTTTTTATAGGCCCCGACCTGCGAACAGGTCTCTCTCCTCCTGGTCCGTCTCTGCGACCGGACCCCGATCTCCCACCCCACCGGAGCTCAGCTTTCTGCTTGCTTGGAGCCGGCAGAGGGAGCTTCTCCGATTTGAGCAATCCATCTGCTGGCGGTGTAGCCCTGTTGCTCGCTACAGCAGCCTGGGAGTAGAGCTCACTTTGTGGCTTATCAGCCGCTCGCTCACCTTCGTCTTGGAGCTCTAGCGGTTTTGCAGCCAGGGGTAGCCCATCAAACCTGGGTTCATCCAGCTTAAGGGAGTGGCTGGAACCCTGAGACACACTTCTCTGGAGCATGGCCTGACCGAGAGCTTCCACTTCCTCCCCACTAGGCAGGCCTTGCTCGTCAGCTTCAAAAGTTGAGCTTACAGGGGCCCTATCTAGAGGCCCCGGCACATCCTCCAGGCCCTGAGTAAACGCAGACAGTGACTCTGAATCCCGAAAGAAGGCATTCTTACGGGTCTCCACCACACCATGATCCTGAGCATAAATAGCTGGCAGACCCCTGTCCAGATCCAAACCAGAGTCAATCCTTCAAAAACAAAACAAGTTGCAATTAGACCAAGTGTTTTATAAACTTACGACACATAAATTGACCATTTAATGCGAGCTGATTTTCCTTACCTTTGCTCCTTATTGTCCTCGCGTTTAGGGGGAGTAGCCGAAGGCAATGGTTCTGACTGTGGGTAGGGGTCTGTTCCCCAGACCATCCGCGAGTCTGTGGGGAAGCCGTGGTCTCGTACTGGTCGGGACAAGTGGTCAAACGAATCAGAGCTAGAACTGGAGTTGTCACCCGGTTCTCTGCGGACAATCTGCTTCTGAGGCATTCGCCCTGAAAATATCAGAACAGATAAAATATAAATAAATAAAAACTGTTTTTTTTTTTTTTTTTAACAAATTCATTTCAACCATTTTCCTGCTTTTGCTCACCAGGGTGGATGTTTGCTGGGATGTCCATAGGGGGGCGGCCCGACATCATGCGGGGGTCCATGTAGGGTTGCATCATGAGCCAGCGGGGGTCAAACCCCATAGAGGGAAGGTGCTGGTGGTGGGGGCCCATAGGTTGGTACATGGAGCGGTGTTGCTGCTGCTGCTGGGTAGCTGGAACGCTGCCACCACCCGACGGCGACACAGAACCTCCGCTTTGCTGTTGCTGCTGTTGCCATTGCTGCTGCTTCATCTGCTCCTGTGGAAGCAATGCAGCATTTTAACAACCTCAGAAAACGGCTGGAATATGAATGAAGTGAACCCTGTAAGCATTAGCAACGGGCAAGTTTCCCGGGGATGGCGAGTTAGTTTAGTAGCTGTTGTATTAAAAGAAATAGGGTGGTGTATTCATATTTAAAAAATGGTCAGAAAAGCTTCCCAGTCCAGATAGCTAACATGCTAGCTGATGACAGAAGCACAGCTGCTGTTTGTACCTATTGCTTTCCCTAATAATTGGGAAGGGGGGGAATCGTAAATGGAATAAAGAAAAAGTTTAAGTTTGAGATTTGATTTTTAGGCCATATCACCCAGCCCTACTTGAAACTAGGTGTGTGCGATATATCGAATATACTGTAGTATCTCCGGTATTCCCATGCATGATAGTTAAAATAACTATCACAGCCATCAAGTACAAATTCGCATGACGACATTAAGCCGTCTGCATCCATTTCACTGGGTTTTATTTTCCCCCACACGTTGAATGAATCATAAAGCCCTCCTCCAAACAGGATTTTTTCCTGCGCTACACACACTACAACAACCGTCAAACAAAATATGGTGACAGCAGGTGTTTCAGCAGAACGTGATACAGCAGTGGTTTGGATTACACACCGAGGGCGACGAATGAAAGACGCCAATTTGTAAGACCAAAAAAACATTGCTGCAAAAGGTAGTACAAATTTATTCCATCCAAGAATGTTGTAAACTCAAAACATTCAATAAACCAGCTGTGAAGCCGATGGCGTTGGCCTCGTCGTTCAAAAAAGCGATCCAATATGAGAGAAACAGGAAGAGATAGAGGGAAATCAAAGAAGCTATTTATGACGTTATTCAAATGTTTTTAGATGCTCTAATAAGGCATTCTCGAAACTTAGAAATGTTCTCAAAAATTCCCAGCACGTAAAAGATCAGTGCTAATAGTTTGGAGATGCTCTGATAATGCTCTAATTTTTGGACGGTATTTCCAATTTGTTTTGTAATTTTAGCTCAATTTATTTTTCATTCCGCTTTTCTTTTATTATGCAAAAAGAGCCCTTGTTTATTTTTTTATTTTTTTTTTTCTTTCCTGTTTGGATCTTGATAAAGTTGTAATACTGACGCCTAAAGACATAATGTGGCAGAAATACTTTTTCATTTTAATGGCACTAGTGGCTTGTTTTTTGGACAGTAGGCTAACAGGAAAGGGGGTATGAAAGAGGGGGAGACGCATGCGGCAAAGGACCACAGGCAGGATTTGAACCCGGGTCGCCTGCGTCGAGGACTAATGCCTCTGTTCATGGGTCGTGCGTGCTATCCACTGTCCCACCTGCACGCCCATGGCAGAATTATTAGAGAAAAGCTTTAAGCTGGTTAAGATAAAATGAAATTAAATGGATGGATCGTGATATATATATATATATCGTGTATCGCGATATAGCCCAAATTTATATTAGATATTAGATTTTCTTCATATTGGCCAGTCCTACTTGAAACATATTCACGTTTTACGTTGCACTAAAATGTGCAAAAAGTCAAATTACCGTATTTTCACGACTATATGGCGCACATAAACGTCTTTTTTTCCCCTCAAAATGTGCGGTGCGCCCTTTGGTGCGGTGCGCCCTATGTGTGTTGCAACTGCGACTTTTGAGACCACCTCATTAAGGAGATGATGAAAGAGTGGCTGAGGGAGGTGAATGTAAGGGGACCAGGTGGTTTTTTTTCCACTCATCACCAGTTCATCCAGATTATTATCCTGCCTATACTATTTCTGTCGGAGGCGCTCAGACCCCCACATACCAGCGGTACACCGACAGTAGAAATCCCTTCATCAGCAGCCTCTAGGCTGGGCAGCCTCAGGGTTCACCGCGGCGGCTGGCAGGTGTTTTTCATCTAAATAATTTAAACTGCAGGCACCAGGATACCGGTAATAAAAGCGAACATATTCCGTCGGCAGGTTTCAGGATTTTAAGTTATTTTAGGAGTAATCACAGCGCTCTGTCATCTGCGATGTGTCTGTCTCACGGCCAGCTCCCAGGTTTGATTAATACTTTGTAATAAATACATGAATAAAGCACAATCATACTCAGTTTTGCGCCCAATGTATTTTTAAATACGCAGTAGAGGTATTTAAAGGTAGTAGAGGACATGTACCTGTATATAAAAAACGCGCCCTATAGTCCGGTGCGCCTTATGTGTGTGTTAAATACAGAAATGGGACACATAACTGAGACTGCGCCTTTTAGTACGGTGCGCCTTATGGTCGTGAAAATACGGTAAACAGGAAAAAAATATATAAAAAGCTTAATTATTTCCTATTTTTCTATTAACGAGGTGGTAAATTGGTGACTTTCCTTTTAAAGCAACACAATGCTAATCTTTCTAATATTCTAGTTCTCAATGAGGAAATTAGAATCTTCTAAAATTCGCATCTGAAGCTTTATTAAATCTAATAACCCCCCCACTGCTGCTTCTCTGGTTCCTTTTTGAACCGATGAAGTTTAGAGTTTTACCTGCTGTCTGAGGAACCGTGGTGGCAGAGACTTCTGGAACTGTTTAGAGTAGCCTGAGATCACAGACGGACGCATAGCAGTTGCTGCCTCTCCTTCCAGTGGTGGGGGTGCGACGGGTACTTCCTCCCCTCCAGGAGGCTCCATGTGAGGCATGGGCAGGTGGGACTCATCCACTGCAAAAACAAGACTTTAGAATCCAAGACAGTCTTTATATTAACAGATCACCTGCAGAGCCTTGGTCATACCTCTGTTCTCCTCCATGTTAAAATAATCCTGAATCTGTACAGACGTCCTGTCGGTCTGGTTCTCCTGCACCAGTGGACCACCTTCAGTCAGAGCGGTTTCTCCTTCACCCTGAGGCTCTTGGGCTACAGTTACAGGTCTTTGGACGGGGGGGCTGGGCTGCGTTCGCTCAGGCTCTTCCTCAGTGCTGGGTTCTTCTCGCTCCGTCCTTTCCCCGTCTCGATCCGCCCTCTCCGATTGCCCAACTGGGACCTCCGACTGTTGAACTGAGACGGGGGGCACAGGACTGGATGCGGGAACGGATGCTAATAAGGCTTCCTCTCCAGCAACGTTCGCTTCTTCATTAGTGGTTTGATCGCTGGCAGGTTTGCCCTCGTTGGCCTGTCTGCGTTTCTCATTTAAACGTTTCAGTTTTTCAGCACAAGCAGCCAGCCTCTGCTCCTCCATGCGTCGCTCCTCCTCTTCTCTCCTCCGTCTCGCCCGCTCTACGGCTTCAGAGATTTCAGACTGCTTCTTTCTTTTCTGTCGCCAGGCTTCAGAGTCTTCGTCTGCGCCCGGTGCTACAGTTGCTTGTGGTTTGTTGCCCCGTGGAGCACCGCTACTGCCAGACCGAGCCCCACTCTACAATCAGAAACCATTACACACCAACTGAGAAACATGCCATCAATTGGGTGGAAGTCTAATAGTGGGGTAGTGATCAAAACATGCTGTACCTGGTAGTCCAGTGAAGCAGGCAATTTACTGTACTGCCCCACACTGCCAGGTGATGGTGCTCTAGGATCAACGCTGTCAGCCCAGGTCTTGGTGGCCCCACGCTCTTCAGATCCATCCTTCCAACCTTCCTGGTTCTCCGATGTCCGAGACCTTATCCACTCCCTGAGAAATTAGGAAGAAAAACATTCCTTTTATTAAACCAATCAGTCTTCTTACTCAGATATAGTCTGTAGCTTAAAAGGTAAACAGAAAATTCAACTATATATTATATATTGTGGTTTCTTTTTCACTGATCTTATCTGCCTTTGCAAAGGTCTGAAAAACTAATTGATCTAACCTTTGATTTGTATTCCCAGCAGTAATTAAATACGTTTTTATGTTTTCACAGATGCTGATTAATGCAACATTTAAGGCATTTAAAGATCGGGAATCTGCGATCAGCCAAAAGCTTCTAATCAATTCACATGTATTCCCAACTCAAAGGAAAAGCCTGAACCACCAGTTCATTTGGCTTTCTTACAAAATTTTGCAGTTTTTTTTTTTTTAAACAAAGTAAAATATTTCAAAGATCAAGAGAGTCCAAGGCTACGTTCACACTGCAGGCTTTAATGCTCAAATCCTAATTTTTAAGAAATCGGATTTCCAAATATATGCGACTTGCATGTTATCTCCTGTGTGAGCTGCATTCATACAAAGTAAGCTTCTCGTATGCGCAGTAGAGGATGCAATGATGTCACAAGCAAGCATGCTCTGTGTTTATGGACGTAAACATGGATCTGGAGTTTTCACAACCTTAAAAAAAAAAACAATCTTTTCAAGATGTTCATAAATATTACTCTCTGCATCATCATCCGCCAGGGTTGTTGTTTTTCTTGCCGTTTCTTCGTAGCAAGATGCATAATAGTGACCTTTGTCTGGTATTAATGACATTCAGGTCGGATTAATGCAACCTGGCCATTCAGACGCAGGTCGCATTTAAAAAGATCGGATTCGTATCGGATTGAAGACCACAGAGCCAAGTGGCCTGGGTCTCATTGGACAAAAATCGGATCTGTGTTGTTCAGACTGTCATGAAAAGATCAGATACAGGTCGGATATGGGAAAAAAATAAATAAAAAAATTCAGATTTGAGTCACTTCAGGCTGTTGTGTGAACGTAGCCTAAGAGAAATTAACATATAAATATTTGATAAGGTTTTTCTGCATGGACAGGTCATACCAAAGTAAAAATATTTTGAGTGAAATGAATAGTCTTTCTGATCAAGTTAACGGGCAATAGTGCTGAAACCATTAATTGGAATAATCATGATTATTGAAAAAAAATCGTCAGCTAATTTAGTAATCGATTAATTGTTAACTGGAGTATAGGGACTCTAAAACATGCCTTTAGCTGACAGAAGAACCCACTTAGAGCAGGAATTATGTCAGAATTGTGAAAAAAAAATATCTATCTATCTCTCTCTATCCATCTATCTCCATCTATCTATCTATCTATCTATATCTATATATATTGCATTTGAGATAGGATAAAAAATAACTTTTTCGTCTTTCAATATGCTCCATCACAAACTCCTCAATTGGAAAAAATTTAGTTTCTCCTGGTTTAATTTCATGAAACAAATCTTTAAGGAACCTTTATGATCCGAATATCTGAAGAAAAAAAAAATAATAATTGACAGATTAATCGCTTAGCAATTATTTGGCTGCAATTTTTTGTTGCAGCCCTAATTGGCATGAAAATTTTTTTTTTTTAAATTAAAGCATGCTTTGAGCAACAACTTTGGTACAAATGTGGTGATTCTGCAATAAAGTCTTCACGCTTTAGTAACTTTTGTTGTATGTTTTCCATCCAAGCAATTTTTATTAAAAGGACCAAGAAATAATCTCCAAATGTCAGCGACTGTTCCTTGTGTTCTGTGATGCTGACTGAACTCTCGGTTCATGCTAAACTCTACAAAATGAAATATCCTAAAAATGATTATTAAATACCTAAAGATACCCGACTTTATAAAAGCCTCACCAGTTTTCTCCTTTTTCTTTAGCAGCTTGGTTTTCCTCATCGTCGCTGAAGTTCAGTTTCTCGGTGTAGTCGACTTCCATCTGAGCGCCTGATCATATCGGACACAAGTTGTGTGAGACTTGAAGACAAAAGCTGAAACTGTTTAACCCCTCTACAGCCAATGAGTGAGAAGTAAAAAGCTGCTGACCTGCCCAGCCTTCATCCGTATCGGTGTCTAAATTGTCGAGCTCCTTCAGTTCCGTTGCACTGATGATGGAGGGTCTGTCGGGGTCTAGGAGCCAGGATTGAGGGGGTGGCTGCTGGGGCCGCGCTGAACGAGAACCCCTGGGGATCCAACACGATTAAAACAGAAACAAATTTATACATCTTTTGTTCAGCCACAACATTGAAAAACATGTTCTTTTCATATCACTATGGCTAATCTGTGTATGTAGGTTTCTCAGTGCTAACAAACATTCAACAAAAGCTGGTGATTGAAACTCACTTTCCGCCATCCTGTGGCACAGGGTATCTGAAGTTCGCCTGTCCGGGGGCAAACGACACTTGCGGATAGGCATGGAACATCTACAATCGAAACAATGACGGCGTCACACAGTGTTAGAACAAAAGAAAAGGTGCTGCTGCTGCTTCCGGTATCTTTGTGACTTACATAAGGTGGCATCATGCTCCTAAAAGCAGGGTCAAAGTGAGTTGGCAGGCCTGCAGGAGGCTGCTGCCCCCCATTAAGTTTAGGCTGAGAGGCGACGGGTGGAGGACACCTCTCTCTGCCATCCCTTTTCTGCTCCCTTTGACCTTCAGTCGTTGAATTTCGGCTAGGTTCTTCAGCTTCAACAGGGGGTGTGGCGGTACCGAGGCTTGGACTGCTCTCCTCCTGAGGCTTGGTGTCCATCTCAGGGGGGCTGGTTGCTGTGTTCAAATTCCTGCCTCCACCTTCACGCCAACTGCCAACATCTGAGAGCAAAAAGGAGGAACTGTTGATTTTCTCTATAAAAAAAATCTGTTTAAGTTCACTTTGGAGTCAGAGAAAACGGTCTAATTCAGCTGAAAGTGGAAACAAATATTTTTTAAAGTTGGTCATAAGTGGACGGACGGATCAAAGGATGGAAGATGGACATATGGACAGATTAGTGGACAGACTGATTAAGGACAGGAAAGAACAAAAAAAGGGGGAAAAGAAGGATAAATGGATGGACAGAAAGTAATTAGTAAATGGAACAGTTTTTTTTTTAAATGATGGAAGTGGGAATAAGATCTGCACATCTCTAAGCTTCCACACTTTTCCACATGAAGTTGAAAAAGCTGACAGCTAAACGGGATCTTACAATTTAAAAGAGATGCTTTATATCATTAATAAAAAAAAAGAAAAAAAAAAAGGGAAAAATGCTAAAAAAAAATTAAAAAGCAAACCTCACAGGTCTGTTTACATTTGATAGAATAACTTTTTCTTCATGTCAACATGTGATAAAACTTTAACAGACTTTAAAGACATGAACTCATTCAGGGTTTTACATTTTTCCCCTTAGCTCTCCATTTTTAAATCAGCCTGATGTAGACGTGTGCCAGTGTGGCCCTACTTTGCGGTCTGAGGCTTGGGCCCGGTCCATAAGGCTCTTCATCCTGACCATCTCCTTTCTCAGCTTCACCAGCTGCCTGCAGGCTGGGAAACTCTTGATGAAAATGAGTGCTTACACGAGGAGATCCTTCAATAAGAAACAAAACAACAGTGTCATTTGTTAAAGATTTTATAAAAAAAAAGGAAATTATCAAGTTTTAAAATGTGCATAGCTTCTGTTTATACGTCAACTGCAACAAATACAGCATAAAGAAACACTTAAATTCATCAGAAAATGCTTTGGATCTGATCTGTAAAGAATCTTTAGGATTACTAAATTGTGAGGGTAAAAAAAACCGTCTCGATACATTGGTGTATAGAGGGTCTATACAAAGATTTTAAAGTACTTCACAGAAGTATTGAAAAATAATAAAAATATGCATGTAAAAGATTCAATATTAATCAGGAAACCTGGAGAAGCCAAGAAGATTATAACGTAAACAGCTGGATTTACCTCCTCCGACTATTTACAGGCATCCTACAGCATAAGGCAGGTTAAATTCAAGACTTTTTTATTGCCACTTAAAATAAAAAATTAAGACCAACTTTACAATAAACAGCTAGTAGCTAAAAATTTACCCCAAATGTTTTTTTTAACACAAACCATTACTTTCTGGCCCAGTAGATATGTTTCAAATTTTGAAAATCTTTCCATATAGGAAGAGAGTTAAAAACACACAAAAAACAGATTTTTAAACAACTACTGAACTGAATTCATTAACTTTTTTTAGTTCCCTACTCAATCCCTCTACTTTCTATGTCTTATTACCGCCAAACATTATCTGCAGATTTCTACTCGCGCTGTTGTTCAGGGTGGAACAGAACAGAGAACCACCTGCTGCTTCTCCATAACTTGATTTTGACGCTTTGACTTTCATGCTTCGCACATGTGTCTCCACTCCCTTGATCCCCATCGTGCCTCATCTACATTCCCTTAAACTTCCCCATGCTGTCCAGATAAAAAGTTGACCCCAATACATGATAAACACAACTGAAATTCATTAAAGGACATTGTGGGTGAAAAATATCCCCCTATGCATTTGTCAGAGAAGGGTATATTCAGGCCAAAGTGCCCAAATTAAATCCTCATTGGACTCCCTTTAATGATGCTAAACCAAAGTCTGCTTTATTTTAGAACCTTCCAACAAGCCCTTGTTGTTTAACACTAGCAGATGTATTTGATTATATTTACCATCGAGCTGCGGCTGCTTGTTATTTGCCCAGGAGCGGCTTCCTCCAGTAGAAAGCTCTTGTGACTGGAGTGGTGCTGGTTTGTTTTGAGGTGGGGGGGTTTCCTGTTGCCTATGATAAAGAAATTTAAAACAGCACGTTAAAACAAAATCATTTTTATATCAATCCCCCACCCACAGAAAATGGACATGATTAGTTTACCTTTCCTCTCCTGGCTCAGCTCTAGACGCCCAGCCACTGCCGTCTTTGGGGACTATGTTGACGTTGGGGTCGTTTCCTTTGTTCTCTGCCTTTAGGCTGGGCAGGTTAGCTGGAGGGGGCATGCGCCTGCTGACGGCAACTTTGCCCAAACTCTGGAGCCCATGTCTGGCAGCCACTGGAATGAACATTTCAAAGCCGAATCGCAGCAATATTAAAACTTTTCATGGACATTTCAATATCGATACATTTCTACTTAACCCATTTAAAAGAAAACCGTCATCCTGCTTCCAACCCTAACCTGAGCAATCTGTTATAACTGAAGGGAAACCAAAACGAATGTAAAAAAAAAAAAAAAACTGATTTTAATATCATTCATCATACAAAGAACCTAAAACATCCGATACAAATTTCTGTGTTCACATCTAAAAATATAAACCACAAATTTGTTTGCCGACAAACTTTCCGTGAGTTTCTACAAAACCCCTTAAAATATAACCATCTTGTTTCATACTAGTTGTTAGAAAGGTTAAAGAGAACGGAAAAAAAAGTGAAGTCTTACCAGCGGTTTTCTGGGTTTCCAGAGATTTGCCCTTATAGGTGTTGAAGAGGCTAAGGGTTGCATATTTTGTTTTGCCATCCTTTGCCTTGGTGCTCTGCCCTGACTTCTCTGACATTTCGCTGGAAACTCATTGAGTCTGGTCCTTTGGCCTCGGCCCCAGAACCAGCCTCCTAAATGAAGAGAAAAAAGAAAAAAGAAACTGAAGATAACTTTTTGATTTTGAATACAACAATATGGTACTTTGAGGGTATTGAAGAGTCGAAAGGACAGAAAGGGAAATAAAATGACGATCAGCGATTAGGCACATATGGGATCGCGCCGTCTTTTCAAGCAACCTGGAGGTCATTTATTATTGACAGTGGATGGGTGTAACATAGCTGGTGAGCTTTGAGGTGAGTTGAAGTGTGCTTATGCAGAAAGGATCTGACAGTTCACCTCTACACAGGTTTCTAGCCTAAAATAGGCAAGACAACCACCCCCTTAAAAAGAAATGTTCATTAGCAATATTGAATCTGAGGCCTAGTTAGCAACAGCTATGCAACCAACTTATGATTACAAAACAGAGACATAACTGTCCCAAATAATGTTAAATTACTATAATAGTAATTAAAAGCATCAAAAAGATAGATAAAACATCTTTATAATCAAAACGAACCTTTGAAACAAAAGGAATACATCCAAAAAAAGTCTAGAGTGGTGGAGAAATGTTAAATAAAAGAGTAAATAAATAATCTTTTTACATTTTTGACTGTTCCAAAATATAAGTTTGTACCTGGTTAAGAGACGAAAAAGATTCTGCATAAATAGGAAGATTAGGCTGAAGTCACATCAGACACTGAGAATCCTAGTAGCTCCATGACAGAGCGGAGACACTGGTTCATCTTGAAAGAAGCCAAAGAGTGACCGTTTCTCAATTCACTAGAACGCGAGCACGGACTCCTGTCCTCGCCAAGTACGTTCTTAAGAAGAACACAGGAAAGTGCGGACTCCGGGAGAACAGGAGCACGTAGCATAACACACGCCTGGCTCGTCTGGAGCGGCATTTCACCTCCTATTTATTTATAGTCTCTAGGTAACAAATTCTAACTTTTTTATTAGTGGGGGAATAATAATGAACACAGTCAATAAACACAAATCAAATGAACATTTCGCCAAATAAAACAAAAAAATAAAAAATCATCATCAGAGCCAGCGGTACTTCACACATGGCTATGCAGAGAGAGGGCTGCTGCAGACGGGCTGCGGTTAGCCCTGGCTGCTGTTGGCCTCGGAGCTCCGTTGGTTGTTATTACGCATTGATCGGTAAAAGGGCAACATAGTAAAGCTTAAAGTATAATATTCTCGCCTCAAATGATCTTAAAACGTACTTTTATTAAACAGCAGCAACAGAGAAGAGAACTTTTAACTTAATACTCTGAGCGCTCAACAGAAAGCTGTTGCTGCTGCCGCAGTGCATGCTGGGACAGCTGTCAACCTCAAGAACAGACAACTCTGCTCTGATGCGTACTGGAAAAAATGGGGAGGGGCGAGAAAAACATCCAGCGACCTTTTCCGTTCTCGGTGTACTGTTCTTGTGAGTTGGAACAGTATTAGGGCTGAGGCTGATGACGTTTTCACGAGTACATGTGAACACACAACTACACATGTTGAGAAACGGCAAGTGTGAGCATCGCTCAAGCTTAAATGGTTTAAATGTGCTGGCAGACATGGCTATTGGCTGGAAAACTGAACAAATGAAGGCTGGAAAGAAACAGGAAGGTAAGAGTGCGCCACTTGCTGGTCGGGAGGAGTTAAAAGCATTTAATTTTAAACAAGTAAAACTGAATTTGTAATAAATTTAATTTTGCACACCTGCACCTGTGATCGTCCTAGCAACGGATTAGCTTGTACGTCAGAATCAATACAAGGAACAATGAGCCAATTTAAAAAAGGAGCTAAAATTAAGTGAAAAGAAGCCTTCCTTTGTTTACATTATAACATCTTAAAATGGAATACAGCTAGATTTATATTTATTGTTAAACTACACATTGATTTATCATCAGCTTCTTTTCCATACATTACAAGATTGCTGATAAGAATGGTTAACCTAAAGCTCCAACATTAGAAAGAGCTGCTTTGGGGTTTATCTGATGTGAAACGCATGAGACAACTCAAATAACAAAATGTTTTTTAGTACAAATGTTGCATAAATGGATTCAATGAATGGCTCCAGATTTTTGTGGTATATCATTTTCAGAATGAACTCCAGTATAAATTAAAAAGAACACAAGATCCAAATTACAGGGTGGTGAAAAGATGGCAGGATTAAACATTCACAAACCAACACCTCAGAAAGGCACGAAATGGGGGAAAATCCCTTGAGGAATTCACTAATTTCCTCTAATAAAAGGTCAGCAGTAAACGACTGGGACAAAGAAGGAGCATTAAAGCACACAGATCTGTCTCCACATCCTCTAAGATGACTGGATAAACAGTCTGCAACATGGCATCTAAGGCTGCCAGATGTCATCTAGCAACAACATCTCAATCAGAGCCGTTTTTAAATATAGTCTTTAAGATTCAGAAAATGCCGACTTGACAAATGCTGGGCAGGAACTGCTTGTGGCTCTTGTTTATAATTTGATACACAAACTGTGACACTGATTAAAATTAAAGACAAATCAGGCAAACCGCTAAACCAAACTCTTTAGCACAATTACTACCTTATTGATGCATAACCAAACATCCTTATTTCCCATACCACAAACAAGAACAAAAAAAANTTAAAAAAGGAGCTAAAATTAAGTGAAAAGAAGCCTTCCTTTGTTTACATTATAACATATTAAAATGGAATACAGCAAGATTTATATTTATTGTTAAACTACACATTGATTTATCATCAGCTTCTTTTCCATACATTACAAGATTGCTGATAAGAATGGTTAACCTAAAGCTCCAACATTAGAAAGAGCTGCTTTGGGGTTTATCTGATGTGAAACGCATGAGACAACTCAAATAACAAAATGTTTTTTAGTACAAATGTTGCATAAATGGATTCAATGAATGGCTCCAGATTTTTGTGGTATATCATTTTCAGAATGAACTCCAGTATAAATTAAAAAGAACACAAGATCCAAATTACAGGGTGGTGAAAAGATGGCAGGATTAAACATTCACAAACCAACACCTCAGAAAGGCACGAAATGGGGGAAAATCCCTTGAGGAATTCACTAATTTCCTCTAATAAAAGGTCAGCAGTAAACGACTGGGACAAAGAAGGAGCATTAAAGCACACAGATCTGTCTCCACATCCTCTAAGATGACTGGATAAACAGTCTGCAACATGGCATCTAAGGCTGCCAGATGTCATCTAGCAACAACATCTCAATCAGAGCCGTTTTTAAATATAGTCTTTAAGATTCAGAAAATGCCGACTTGACAAATGCTGGGCAGGAACTGCTTGTGGCTCTTGTTTATAATTTGATACACAAACTGTGACACTGATTAAAATTAAAGACAAATCAGGCAAACCGCTAAACCAAACTCTTTAGCACAATTACTACCTTATTGATGCATAACCAAACATCCTTATTTCCCATACCACAAACAAGAACAAAAAAAAAAAAAAAAAATAGAATGGAACAAATGTTCAACCAGACTAATTAGCTGTCATATTACAAAAAAAAAAAGCTAACTAAGTAAGCCAATGTAAAATAATAAAAACAAAAAAAGGATCATAAAATGTACTTATTTGTTGAACATTATAGTTTGAGTTTTAAACTATATGGGATAAAAAAAACAGAAAAACAAAGATGCAGGCAGGGAGACACTGGCTCTTGAATCTGATGGACCCTGACGTCCAGTGTTTTTTTGTTTTTCCTGAATGCACAGCATGTAACACCAGCACAAACACTCTCCAGTACAGATCTTTTCACCGAAGGAACTTTTCGGTCTGGACACTTATACATCACATTTAAAACTGGATTTTTTCCCCCCTTCATTTCTACTACAAACAAATCTAGATGACAATGTTTTAATCACGGAACACTAGCCCAAACAATATAATTAGTGTAATTCCCCTGCTATGCAAATATAGTAGGTATGTTTAAAAACAACTGCATACTCATGTCTAACAAAACCTTTGAATAGGAGCCACTAGCAAATCAAAGTGCAGTCCTCCCAGGGCTCCTCCATACAGGGACACTCTGGTTCTCCTCCTTTACATGACAACAAAGACATTAAGTCATTACTTTTCAAATGATGCCGTTTGTATACACGGGGCGGGGTAGAGAGAGACATGTTTGTCCATTGAAAACTTGGCAACTTTTTGACATATCCCTGATCCAACACACTTCCAAGAAATGGCTGAATTATTTCCTTCATATTTCCTTAGTAAGTTGGAGGAAATTGTCCCAAAAGCACTGAAGTTGGACACCTGTGCTCATGCTGACACAGAGAAACAATTTTTCCACAATAAAGCATTGTGTAATCATCTCCCCCCACCATCTATTGTGAAACATGATGGATTTAGGAACACTTGCACCCTTAAAGGAATAGTACACCCAAAACATGATTAGCCTTCATTTTCTACTCACCCCCATGCTGAACAAC